TCCAATGAGACTCGGACAAACAATAGGGTACTCTAAGTCCACAACCAAACAAGGAACATGAAATAAAGTGAGTTGGTAGTCCTAAGTCCTTTAACCCTTACTTATATAACTATATATGTAATAGACATGGTTTTAACATATATAAGTTTGAAAGTTATGTGACGCGGCATGGACCATGTTGAGCTTCACTTCAATCCCTCTATACTTTTGGGTTGATGCAATTGCTACTGCATGCTATACTCAGAACCGATCCTTACTTAACAAGCGATTCGTGATCACTCCGTATGAAATTCTGAACAACAGGGAGCCTAATGTTAAGTTTTTCCACTTGTTTGGTTCCAGATGCTTCATTTTTAACTCTAGAGAGAACCGAAACAAATTTGATGTCAAGACTGACAAAGTAATCTTTCTTGGCTATTCAATAACTTCAAAGGCTTACAGGGTCTTGAATAAACACTCCAAACGGAATGAAGAAACCTACTACGTAACGTTTGATGACAACTACATGAGGAAATTTCAAACAACTGAGAGTGTCATTGGGAAAATACTTCCAAAATCCGGTCAAGTCTCAGTTCCAATTTTCAAGTTGTTTGAAGAATACATAACGTTGTTCGACGAACCAAAAAAGGCTATACTCTCCAAGGTGAAAGCAGTAGACAACAAAATCGACAATTTAAAGAAGATTATCGACGGAGCTGCAAAATATATGGAAAAGATCCTCCTAAACAAGCTGAAGGTCGACCATCAGAAGATCCTCCAAACAAAAGCTCAATGTTCGAGGGGGAGGGTCCATCTGACACCAACATAGCAGAACTTCTAATCAAGGGGGAGCATCCAAATCTAACTCATGATGGTCCAGTCGAGGGGGAGAACCCTCCTCCAACTTCAAGAGAGCATTCTACTCCAACCAAAGGAGAGGCTCATGAACCTGACATGGGATACGCTTTGCCATTTAAGGGGGAGAATGCAAATACAAATGACAAAGACGATCAATCAGAATTTGAAGAAGATATTAATGCAGAGTTGGTTCCTGTTTATGATTGAAATACCCTCCTCTAACAAAATGGACTAAGGATCATCCCAAAACATAGATAATTGGTGAATCATCCGAGCGGCTTTTCACACGGTCTCAATTAAAAGCGAAGCAAACTATATTATTCTCTCACGTTGAATTTTCCATGTTTAATTCGTTTTTCTCTAAAATCAACGAAAGACGGTCAATACTGCAGTTGATCATGTGGATTGGGTACAGGCAATGCAAGATGAACTCCACGAGTATAAATGCAATCGAGTTTGGAGACTAATTCCCACACCAAAGGATGCTTCTGTGGTTGGATTGAAGTGGGTCTTCAGGAGCAAGATGGATAAAGAAGGCAACGTTGTTAGGAATAACGCTTGGCTGCTAGTAAAGGGATATTGCCAAGAAGAAGGAATAGATTATGACAAGACCTTCACACCTGTAGCCATAATGAAATCGGTTCGAATCTTTCTAGCATATGTTGCTCATAAAAACTTCAAAATTTTTCAAATGGATGAGAAATGTGCCTTCCTAAATGGAGAACTAGAAGAAACAATGTATGCTGAGCAACCACCCGGGTTCGTGAATGAGAAATACCGTGATCATTGATATGTATTGGATAAAGCTGTGTATGGACTGCAGCTAGCACCAAGGGCCTGGTATGAAACATTAACTCGCTTTCTAAAAATGTCTAAATTCATGCAAGGTTTGGTTGACCCAACCTTCTTTCGCAAGAAAGAAGGCGGACATCTTATGATTGTTCAGATTTATGTCGATGATATCATCTTCAACTCCACGAATCCTAGCTTAACAGCTAAATTCCGGAAGCTGATGGAGACTAAATTTGAAATGAGCGCAATGAGTCCAATTAACTTTTTTCTTGGGTTAAATATAAGACAGGGACCAGAAGGCATTTTTATTAACCAGGAGGCCTACACGAAGAATCTATTGGCAAATTTTGGTATGACGGGAGACTCGAAGGTGAAGGTTCCCATGGCGTTTGGCACTAAGTTAACACCATCTCTAGAAAAGGTTGTTGTTGACATGACTCTATATTGAAAAATGATAGGATCTCTCGTGTATCTAACTGCTAGTAGACCGGGCATTATGTTTTCTGTCTGTTATTGTGCCAAGTTTCAAGCTAATTCTAGAGAACCTCACATGGTGGCTGTAAAGAATATTTTTCGCTATTTGAAGCGAACCTCGTCGCTCAGTCTCTGGTATCCAGCAAAATCATGATTCTTTGTTCAAGACTTTTCTGATGTTGATCTAGGTGGATGCGGTCTAGATAGAAAGAGCACAACTAGAGGATGTCAGTTCCTTGATGGTAAACTAGTTAGCTGGGAATGATGGAAGCAGGGTCGGTACCAAATCCTCACACCTCTTTCTTAAAAATTAGGCAAGTGAAACAGAGTGAACGCTCGGTCTATTTCGGTTCCAGAATTTTAGGGAACCGAAATGAACCGAACACTCTGCTTATTTCGACTCATTAACTTTTGTGAACCGAAATGAACCGATCGCTCTGTCTATTTCGGCTCTGGAATTTTATGGAACCGAAATGAACTAAGCGCCCTGCTTATTTCGGCTCCTCATTTTGGGGGGACTAAAATGAACTGATCTCTCGGTTTATCTAGCCTCACTTATTTAAAGTTTAAGTTCGGGTGTATTTTTTTTGTACACTTTCTTTTCGCCCGTTACTTAATTTTTTTTTCTTTATTTCTATCATGTTTAAAGTTATTTCATTTTTTCTAATTTTTGTTTTTATTATTTTTCAGAAATTGCAAAAATCCAAAAAGTTTTTATTTTTATTTTTATTTTTACAGAAAATTCGAAATTCCAAAAAGACTTTATGTTATCTCTTGTTATTTTCTCTATTTTTTTCGTTTTCTGTTTTTCTTATGTGTGGTTTGTTTGTCTCTTCTTCCTTAATAGGTATCAAATGCACAGTTGTAATAAGAACTCGTGAAGGGGCAAGTATGTCAAGTTTACTATAAACTAGCTAGGTGTCCCTAGAAGCATGCTGTTTTATGTAGACCAAAGCCTCTTAAAACATTGAGTGAGGCCTTAATGATTCGATTTGTACATATCGTTTCTTCCTAATCAGGCCGACTACATCACTCAAATCATGAGTTTCCCTACTCATCTCAAATGAGTCAAGAGTTTTCTGATATGTCACTCATTTACAGTAGGGGTACTCTCTGTTCTTTAACCACCTCATAATGTTCTCCATCTACTTTCGATTCATCAATGTAACCATTGAAACTCTCAGAGATTACCACTGAGGTTTATGGTTACACAAACTCTGCGTTAATGATCGTAGATGCGTACACCACATGCTAAGGGGGACCCACAATCCAATACCACTGCTGAATTGATGGTGAATATTTATATTCAAGCACTCACTTGTTACCAAATGAAGTCTCTTTTATTTTTTTCTTGCGTGATCTTTGTGAAACTATCTAACACCAAGGCATTTCTTCCCAAAAGATCTAGTTGATTTTTTGTTTTTGAAATTTCTATTATAAATCCTGTTTCTTGAAAGTTATCCAACTTACTTGTTCAACATACCATAACGGTCTCACAAGTACTTCTTCCAACGTTCGGTCTTATGTTAAGTATCGAAGTTCGGTTAAAGATTAGCCACCCTATATAACCTATGTTTAAAAAGAATCCTTTCAATGTTTCTTACAAACATTTGATTGTATTCTCACGGGAAACCACACAAGAAGTTCAAGTCTCTCTTGACTTTGAAGGAAGAGATTCGTGCCCGGGATCCTCTGCTTTATGTCATATTTGACATCACTCACATCCCATATACTTGTTGCTTTATTTCTTATTCGTTGGCAGACTAATGCACGAAAATCTTCGTGATTTTCGAAATTATGGTTCGTGACCATTGTGGGTTGTTTTTACTTTCGGCTCTAACCATTAAACAGATTTATGGAAGAAATAGGGTATTATGTATCATGAATGAACACCGGATCGGGGCATTTGAATGGATACGAAGTTGCAATGGGTGTTTGGATAAGTTCAAGAATGGGCGCATGAAGTTGAAACAACTCCTAAACCTTTGTCGTATGACGTGTATCTGGGGAAAACCAAGATGCCAAATCCTGCTTTTACAGGCGCCTTTTCAGAGATCGTTTCATCATTATGACAGATTCTTTCTCTTTCATGGAAATTGTATATAAAGGAGTTCTCGCTCTACTGTACCTTTTACCTTACTCAAATTCTCTCAAATACACTGGCGTTTTTAAACTAGTCATCTTCTTCACATGTTTAACAATGGTAGATTCTTCATCTCTTCATGATCAAACTGCATCGTCGTCCCTACTTTCGATCAAGCCCAACCAAAACATGATAATTCAGATGACTCTAGTCCTGTACACTACTAGAAAAACAGCCTTTTACGACGCTCATTGCGCGTCGTAAAACGCTCAGACGACGCGCAAATGCGCGTCAAGGAAGGCCTTGTCATAAAGAGAGATGACGCGCTTTTGCGCATCGTCTATAGACGACGCGCATTTACGACGCGCATTTATGACGCTCATTTACGACGCGCAATGCGTATCAAGGAAGGCCATGTCATAAAGGAAGACGACACGCATTTGCATGTCGTAACCTTACGACGTGCGTGTTTATGACACGCATTGCGTATCAAGGAAGCCCCTATCAAGAAAGGCCATGTCATAAATGAAGATGACACACATTTTTGCATATCGTAATTTTATATGTTTTAAAAAATATATTTTTTCTAGATTTACTAATTTTTGAATTAAATTTTCATTTAATGTCACTTAATAAATAAAATATCATATACAAAAATACAATTCATTGCACAAAATATAATGTCATACAAATAATCGTTCCATGGAAAGATAAAACAAATCAATAAAAGTTATAACGGAAATTTACAAACTAATTAGATACAAGAAATATGAAAAACTTGAAATCTATAAGATTAATAATTCTAGCAGAAGCTTCACGTGAGATACATACAGTTGGACCAGTAAGCATGGATGTTCCTGAATCCACAATAGCAGCAGAAGAACACGTACACGATATCTTTTGCAAGAAGGTGCCTGTCCAAAACTACTGTTGAAGGTTGCCATGATAGCTGTTAAGATTTAAGCATAACAAGAAACCAATCAGTGACTATAATAAGCTAGAAAACAAGCAACTAATAAACAAAATGAGCAACTAATTAAGTCAAACTATGACTATGTATTGTTCATACAAGAAAAAGAAGGAAAAAAATGTTGATTTATTGTTGTTCATACAACACTCTCCAGGCAACACTTAATTGAAGAAAAGAATAAGGCTAAACTTACAAAGAAAAAGAATTCAGGAAGAAGACAAGTTTGAAAGCATACAAAATAACATTTAGCCAAGCAAGTGTGATCTACTAGTAAACTTGAAAACACAAAATTCTGAAAAAAATGACCTAAATACCCTCAGAATTGTTAATCATAATAACAAGTAACAAACCTTGTAGGAGGCAATGCAGAGGTCTGGCCAGATGGCATAGCATGATAAGCACCATCCATTGTGATATAAGGTGAAGCAGCCAAAAGCCCCAGCAGCACCAGCCAAAATAGGTAGCCTACAACAAAATTTCACAATTTTAACCATTTAATCACCTAACTATTATTATCTTAAATATTTATTTACTTATATATCTATATATATTTAAAGTACCATGTCATTTTTGAATTCCCCATTCCATTGTGCTAAGTAACGTAGCCAGGGAACGCCATGCCAACAGCAGGAACTCCAATATTAGTTCATATATTTGTTCGTATCATTAGTTCATTAACTACAATATTATAATTTTGTAGGTTTTTCAAAGTATGATCTCTTCATAAAAAAACTATTGAAAGTAGGATGCTATAATAAACAAATAAATGAAAGTACCCCGCTATTTTTTGCATTTATCCCAGTTAACTCAATTACCTTCAATTATCTTGAGTTGCATCCTTTTTAACAATGTTCCATTTGGATTTTAAAGCTTGAACGCATAAAACATAAAGTGAAATTTAAGAAGCAACAACAGATATACATTTGTAAATTTGGTATTTAGATCTAGCAACAAAATGAATAATGTAGTTGGTGGTTACCTTTAGTTACTTGAGATTTGTGTAACGTGCCTACCTGTTTCACTTAATGCAACAGCAGTCATAACTTTCTTCCTATATGAACCAACATCATTTCATGCCCATCTAAACCTACTCCTCTAAATCAACTTATCTTCACCATTGCTAACCCAAACAAACAAAGCCACAAACAACAATTAATTATACAAACATAGATTCACAATTATAAAATAAATTAAAAAACTTTACTTGAAATCAACACCATAAGAAGCACTAAGAGCCATGACACGACTTGGATGGAAAATAATAGCAGAAACTACACCATCCCTGTAACCATCACATGTTCAAAAAATGTTATACCGGAAAAAAAATCTATATACATATTAAATAAAAAGATTTTATAAATAGCAAAAAAACAACCTATGGGGCACATATATAACAATAGACAAGGTAAAATCATTGTTGTGTGGCCCACATTCCCAAAACTTGTGTGTTACAAAACCTCCTATTCCTTGTTCATACATTCTGGTTTCAACAGTACCCATCACAGGGCCATGACACGAACAACAACAACTTCTAGACTAATAGCACCATGTCATTTGTTAGTATCTGCTATTTGTTCATGGTGTTTAGGCGAATGGTGGATGATTTTGTTTCCAGAATCCACTTTTTGTAATTTTCAACCTAAGAAATTAGAATTTGATAAGAGAATATAAAACGTAAAGTATATAAAAAATAGAAATAGAAGACTATTAGTATCACCTCAGCTAGCATCTTTGCACAGAAATCTGGATGGAGCATATCGAATGTGAAAACTCCTGGAACAAGTTCAGACATTATGTTTCTGATACTTTGATTTCTGCTGACATCATCATTAGCCATGAATGCGTTTATGAAAGAGGACACAAAGAAGCTTGAGGGATTCAATTCATATAGTTCTCTATGAAGAGGCTGAAAACCAAGGAAAAGGAAATCAGTGATTGCTGATTATACAACATATAAAATATAAAATATATATCAAATATATTACCTGATAATTGTATATGATTCTTTCCCTGTATATGTTGTGCTTCTTAGCTTGTTGAAAGTGATGAAAAAAGATGGATTAGTTATTAAAATAGACTTTAACATATAAACTTCACGTCATTTAAGACGATTAAGGAAAATTTCTTACTGTATTTCATTCGTTATAATGGTCTATAATTAAAGAATTTTTCTATATAGGGAAGTATTATATTAATGATATGAATTCTAAATTATTGTAGGTTATTGAACTCATATGAAGAAAAAGGTGCTTAACAAATGTAATCCCCAGCCTTTTAACATAGACTTTAATACAATCACTCTATGTATAAACATTTTGTCAACTTTATGTGTAAAGAACTAATTGTGTTTGCTACCTAAACAGAAAAAACACGGGGAACATAGAAATCACGGGTACCATGATTTCCTAATGCCCAAATGTTGACAATAAATTTGGTGCAGCAGGTGACAATGCAACCGCAATAATCCTCATTGCTTCTAATAATCACAAGGTCCTGCTCCACAAGAAAAAAATAAGAATTCTAAATGTACAAATTCAACCCTTTTCATGAATTGTTTTTTGGCTTCAAATCAATATATTATCTTCGGTTGATGATATCTAACAATTGGAGTTAAAGTTGTAACATATTTTGCATTTAAATGGTTGGATATGAGGAGTTATAGAATGACGTAACTTACAAAAAAACATTTATTAGTAATAGCAAACTGTAATAAACTAATAATCACTTTAAATGAACATACATATAGTACTTAAGGAGTTAAGTCAATGGAGTACGAGCTCATGGGGTAATAACTTGAAAATTATATTCAGGAATCTTACCAGCTTCTCTACATTGTCCTTGAAGGCATTTCCTTCAGCTGCAAACGTTATAAAGCTTCTGTATTGCTGGAATGATTTAGCAACACTGCCACCAAATAACTCTGTTTGACTTTTGAGTTTTGACGAGAATTTCAATTCAAAACCCCCCTTTGAAGGAATCTAGACTACTGCAACAGTTTGAATGTTTTGACAGAAGGGTCCTCTAGTAGCATAGAGGACCCTTCAGTGCTTTTGAAAAGCTAGTGTAGTGATGTGGAGTCAGAGTTTGTTAATAACTGAATTTTATAATGTCAATGAAGTTGGACCCGAGTGTATGCATTATTACTAATTTTATAACAACATAATGGTTTTTAAATTTCTTTCCTATACTATTTCAATTCATATATAGCTGCCAAAATCAAGAATAAAAAGTGAATACGAGAAGAGTACTAAACATATATATATATATATATATATATATATATATATATATATATATATCAATCTGTTGCTTATGAATTAATAATGGTTATTAATAACCACTCACAAATACTTTTTAATTCACAACAGATTTTTAGTCTTATAATTTTTATTGATTTCATTTTACAAAACTTAATTAGAAACCAGGTACCCGGTATCGGAACCGGTGCGGCAGTTCCGGTTCCGGTTCCAAAGTTTCAAGAACTGGCGGTTCCGGTTTCGGTTCCAGACAATTAGGCCGGGTACCCGCCTATGCTCATCCTTACATCTTACAATCATATATGGAAATAAGAATTTGTTCGGCGACTCAATAGATATTTTATTACAAACAAGTAAAATATCATTAACCTTTAACTTTATATGTCTGGATCCTTACAAGGCACAAAGCAGACATCAAGAAAAAAAATGTTAACATCTTCCATCATTACTCTATCCTCTTCACAGCTATGTCTAAACTGCAAAAATGATGAGAACTTACATTTTATCGAACATTTGGTAGGAATATGATCGAATCCACTTTGAACTTGTTTATTTGTAGCATTTCTAAACTGCAAAAACGATGAGAACTTACACTTTACCCCTTGATCCAAACAAACATGTTTTTTTTCATAGCACAAATCTTGTAGATATTTACCTGAACCAAAGAGATAAATATTGTTCCACAACCATTAGATATTTTTATTTTATAAGACATGAACATATGGTATAATCTCGAACTCCACTTACGGTAATGACCAAACTGCCCTTGAGCCAACATCAATCACCTCCAACCCACATGCTGCCACGTCAGTAGCAACAAGAATTGGAGTCTTCCGACTCTTAAATGACCTCAATACCAACTCCCTTTCCTATCAATAAAAAACAAAAATTAGAAATTAACTTTTATTCATTTTTTTAACTTTAACTCTAATTTTTTTTTACCGGTTGTGTTTTGTCTCCATGAATTATAGTAGCGGGAAAACATTATATAAATTAAAAAACTATATATTAAAATGAATCAAATTAATAAAATAAAATTAAAAACCTGGATTTCTCTAGGAAAAGTGGCACTGAAAAGCATTGTTTGTCTTCCAGGAGGTGGAGGCATGTCTGTTTGTTCCACAATTTTTCTTATTTGAGGCTCAAATCCCATATCCAACATACGGTCAGCTTCATCAAGAGCTAAATACCTTACCCTTTGTAATGACACTTTTTCCCTTTCAAGTAAATCAACTAATCTTCCAGGTGTTGCCACAATTAAATCAACTAGCTTCATCTTTCTTTCCCGTTCTTCTATTTCTTTGCCTTGGTGCACAAGGTGCAGGGGAGTAAATCTACACATTTAAGATAATAGAAGTAGTGAAATTAGTATACTATAAATATGATCTTACCCATTACTATGAAAAATTATTTTATCTCTATCAGTAAATATCAATATCAATACCTACATCTCACATGAATGGTGTAAATGGAAGGGAAGAAGTAAGATGTAGGCAGCCCCTGGCCCCTCAGTGGATGATCTCTTTAACCTATAGGATAATGATTTTGTCTTCTCTTAGATAATAAATAATAACTACAATCCCATATACATTAAGACATGTATACTGAGTTTCTTGGACTTTGTTGCTCATTCTGCAAGAACTTTCATATCGGTACCACTAGTTTGAAACATAAACAAAAGTCTGCCTCAGTTTCACCTATTGTGTCTCTGTTAACTAAACTAATGCAACTGAAACACTTGTACACCTCAATGAGTGAATATCACACATAGACATGACAACATCCACAAACACTCTATAAATATATGATCTCATGCATCACACTAAACTGGAAACAAGGTAAAATCAATTGAGTTCTTGTAGTCTAAAAATGATACTCAAACAACTTTGGAAAGATCTATATACAGCCATAGCAGGTACCTTGAGCTGTAAATTTCTCATCAACCAATGAGATGTCAACAAGCACCGATCCATTCTGTAGAAGGTTCCCAATTGATGAATTTAGCATGAATGATTCTAAAGGCGATCGGTACCCAGGACTCCCACTCAGAGTAATCTTCAACAAACTGCCATTTTTATGGGAGGATTATTTATTTTTCATATACTTGTGTGTGTATGTATGTGTTTCTATGTAGATGAAATTGAAGAGAGAGAGAGAGAGAGAGACAGAGAGAGACAGAGAGAGAAGATTACCAGATGGGATGATTCTCAGCCTTACAAAGGTTTCGTGCTCTGGTTCTTTTCTAAGAATATCAATAGAATGAAAGAAGATTAACTTCAGTAGATAACAGAATGTGTGTGGATGGGTCCGTTTATCATCATCAAAAAGCTTTGATCTTTCTGGTAGTATAGGACCTCCAGTCTCTTCTGAAAAAAACCCTAAAAAGACAAATCACAATCGATCCAATAATCAGTGATTTTGACCCAGGAGGGTTGGAATATTGATGATATAGAGGTGCAGAAAACAGCTTCAAAAGCGTCATCATCTTCAGGGTGCAAAAACAGGAGAAGAAAAGTAGATAGACACCGCCGATTGTGCTTGGAGAGATGATCATTCGGTAGGAGCATGGCCGATGTGAAAGGACCGGTGGTCAACGACAAAGGTGAGCAACGAGATGTTTGATGAGACCGATAAGAAGGAGGTCAGGAGTAGCGGAGAAGTGGATCGGAGAGGAAAGAGATGGACCGAGATGGGAGAGTCGATTTAGAAGATGAATGATAGAAAAAAGGTAGAAGGTGGGTTTTCAAAAATTTGGGGATTTCGTTTCCCGTCTAAACGCGCGTTTCAATAAAATTATAAAGCGACAGGTACAAAGGACGCGCGTTTAAAAAAAGTGCCCTCCGTTTTTTTAATTTTTTTTTCTTTAGACACTAATCTAAGGGCACGCAATAATGCGTGATGTAAATTATTAAATTTTTTGAAGAGATGACACTATTTTAAGATCACTCTCTTTTGCGTAACATAAATCAGCGCGTGTCGTGGTTTGCACGTCATTAAAGGCTGTTTTTCTAGTTGTGGTATGATTCATAAATGCTTCAAGTCGTGGAATGTCTCAAGTATTCCCCTCTTGTAATCTCTTTAACACAAGTGGAATCTGTTCCAATGTCAGTACTGTCTCAGGTGTACTCCATAGCAACTTATGACAAAATAAAAGATAGAATCTACTATCAGATTCATTCTCACAAGGCTTCTATATCAAAAGGACGATTTTGCTCTCTGCTAGGGCTTGCAGTAGATGCCTCAATCATCTCACCAGACTTTATTAGTACGACTCAAATGTTCTCGATGTTCTATGAGATGGGCTACATTGAGGTGCTTACCACCTTCACCAAATTCAAGAAATCCTACTTACCCCCTCAATGGAATGGTTTACTCACCCTTCTTCACAAGGGGTTAGCTGAGCGTGTTGGTGGATTCGATGGTTCGAACAAATGCTTTATGACGATTTTGTACGGTGTCTACAATGGACTCAACATGGACTATGGTTCGTTGATCTGGACCGAATTGGTGTAGAGCCTGTCCTCCTCTACTAAGCATTCTGAAATCTCGTGTGTTCGTTTTTGGACCATTGTTGCTCAAAGGGAAATCACCTCTCTTAAGGTTCCGGTCATGAAGGATTCTTTTCTCTCCTCTGTCTCCTCCTTCCATACCAAAAAGATAATCGTAGCTGATCTAGCCAGGTTTTCACATAATGGTTCTATTCCGGAAACAATGTACTGGTGTGTCTCTCAGGAAAGTAAAGTTATCTTAGAATACAAATTGCTTCCTCCCAAGAGTCCACGAAAATTGACTCCTAAGATGCAAGCTGCCTTAGACGAGGCTGAGAAACTGCTAAAAGAGGGAAGAAAGCCAATCTTAAGAAAGAAGAAACCAAAGGTCTTTCTTCCAAACCTGCTAAGTCCAAGAAAAGGAAAGCTGACAAAGGTGATTCCTCTGTTCCAGAGAAAGTAAAGAAAATGGCTTGCAGAAAAAAAAAACTCCTTCACCTTCCCATTCAAAACAAAAAGATGAGCAGTCTGCAGGTGAGGAAGAGGAAGAGAATCATGAAGGTTCACCTAGGGGGAATACACCTCCTCGATCTCCAACTCCAGATAAAGGTTTTTCATGATACTATTCCCACTCCTCCTCCATCTCCACCGAAATCTATTGTTTAGGATTCGGTTCCACCTCCACCTACATCCCAACCCTCTTCTATAATTGCTCCAACACCGAATGTCAATTCTACTACCATCACCATTTCTCCATTACCACCTCCTATTTTTTCCCAGGCTATCTTCACCACTACGCCTATAATCAACTCTATCACAGATTCTTTGGTCAAAGCTAACACATCTGATGTGGGGGTTAAGATTGAAGATACTCCTAAAGTCACTTCAGAACCAATTTCCCCAACACCCTCTACTGATTCTAATCCAGTTCTTAGAGGAACTGAATTTGAGTTTGATTCTACTTACTACAGTCCCTACGGAATCCCAAGTGAAGAGGATGAATCTGCTCCAACAACCAAGAAGCAAATCGACAATGTTAATGAAAATCTTGATGCATTGATCGAGACATCCAAGAAGTGCAACGATGTTGTCATGAAAGCCTTTCTGGACACTGCTTTGCACCAATATCATGAGTCCTTCGACAAATGCACTGCTGTTGCGGATGACTCTACTTCTCTGTGCAAACGAGCTTCATCTGATATCAAAGAACTCATCCAAGACTCCAAGGTTTTTCTTGACTCTCTCACGGGTCATGTTGATTCCAACGCTGCAAAGGTGACTACATCAGTTGATTCCCTATCTCAGACTCTTCAAGAGGAACAAGCTAAGTTCGAGACTCTACGTTCTGATGTTTTTGCTGATAATAAAACCTTTTTGGCATCTTTTGACTCATGGTTAGAAAATCTCAATGTTGATTTCCAGGTGGAAAGGAAACTTTGAGATGATCTTGCTCAACAGATTGCTATTAATGTAGTGTAGAAAGCCGAACTTGCCAAGGCAGAAAGAGAGATTTCCTTGTTAAAAGCCGAATAAGCAGTTTTTCGCAGTTGTGTTGGGGATGTTCTTTCTCATTTGCACAATGTGCTTCAGGCTCATGATCCCATTCATACGCTTACAATTTGAAATCATTTAACCTCCAAACTCCTTCCCTCAATTGAACTCTTACGGGAAATGAAGGGTGTTTTGGAGAGGATGACTACTCCGCAACAAGGGAGAGAAGGTACTGTGATTCCTCCTGATGTTAAACCAAAGGTGACTGTGAAAACCAAACTGAAGGATAATGTAGCTTCGTGTTCTGGTAACAAAGAAAAGAAGAAGCATGTCATTGGGTAGATGATGATAGTAACGAAGATCAACAAACTATTTCTGAGATCCTTAAGCGAAAGAAAAGGGATCAGGAGATAGATGAAACTCTTCATGTCACAAAGGAATGCGAAGACAAAGAAAGAAAGAAGAAAGAAGAGGATGATGCACTGAGTTTCAAGAAGACTTTGGTCCCTCCTTGGACTAGGGAAACACTTATCAAAGAAGCTATAGAGTCTCCAAGCACATATTGGCTGGAACCTGCGACTCGTATGACTGTGATAATACAAGGGATTCACAGTTTGATATGTCTATAACATGAAAGGCATTCATTTTTCATTACTTTGATTCAACGGCTAAAGACCCTTCACCCCATCCTTAGATTGACCAGGAACTTATTGATTTTTATCTTCAGTTCGGTTAGTCTCAGTACCTGACCTGGAGCTCACAGAAAATTACAACGGTCAAGGTGCTGAAGTCGTTGCCTGCAGCGAAGTTCATTAATGTTCGATTCAAAATAACCCGAGGTTCAGATAACTCGGTGTCTTTGATTTCCATGGAAAACCTTCAAAATTTGAATCCTCACGATTGGATCCTACTGTTTAATATCTTGCTCACGAATGCAAAAGAATATGAGCCGATCCCGAATCATTTGAAGAGAATGTTGACTTCCTACATCCTTGAAGTTGCCAAGATGGATCACGAAGTAGCTTCTGTTTTGAGGAAGAAACCAACAGTGAAGCCTACTACAAAGCTAGGTGACGTCACTAAAATGAATTTTGGACAGATTGATTCGGCTCACCTCATTGTTATGTTCACAAGAGCCAAAGGTGAGAAGTTTTTGTTTGCTCTTCTTGACAAGCACCTATTTTCCACCGATTGCTTGGAACACATTATCAATATTACTCATCGGTTCAAGGAGAACTCTGCTTCAGATAAGAAGAACTTCACGGACATACTTCGGTGGTACATCACATTCAGGCAAACTCTTTTAGCCATCATACCGAGCGTGTTCAAGACAATCAAGAAGTCTATTGCAGCTCAACCGAAATGAGCTATCGGCTCCATTGACACAAAAGGGGAGATTGTTTGGTATTATGTGTTGCATCATGGGCCATTATTTTGTATATCCGGTTTAGGCCTGTCCAACCGTGATTATAGATTTGGGTTACGTATTATATATAGTGCATGCATGTATACCTTAGAAGATACGATAGTTATGTATTATCTCTACTGCATTGTAACCCTAAACATCTCTACAGTCGAAGCTCTTAATCGAACTCTTGTGAGGTGTTCAAGTTAATCATTGAACAACAATTAAACCATTCTTGTGTTCATGAATTCTTTATATTTATTTTTCTACTTGAATCTAACGATCTTTAAGAAGTTTGTATTCTAACATAGTCGCAGATTGTTGACCCTGCATGGGAGGTTCTGGGTACCGTACTAGGCGGGGTATGACAGACCTTGATGGATGAGGCCCACAAGTCCAGGTTCTCCATCTATCCAGGAGCGACAAAGATGTATAGAGATCTTCAAACTGATTACTAGTGGCCCTACATGAAGCGGGACGTCGCCTAGTACGTTGAGAGGTGCTTGACCTACAGAAAGGTCAAAGCCGAGAACCAGACGCCTCATGGAAAGACGTAGCCATTGGACATCCCCATGTGGAAATATGAAAGTCCCACACTTTCATATGATTGAGAGAATCCCCTCTCTAAAATTTTCATCTACATCATATTACTCCAAAACATGCTACATGCATATTTATAAACAATGATTTTTACATTGATACTTCGATTATAAATACTGGATACAAACCGACTATTTAGACTATTACAAAGTGTTATATATTACATAACTACCCAATATATTGTAGCTTTATACATACACGATCACTAAATACAAAAGTAATAATATAAACTATTCTAAATCTTCCAACAGTATATGACTATACTAGATCCTTATTACCTGCAATAGTTAAACACTGAGAGGGATAAGTGGTGATGCTTAGTGAGTTCAATAATAGATACAATATAACATTATGCCATATATATACTTCAATATGGTAGAAGCAAAGAGAAAGAAGGAACAACAAAGGCATATGTGAATCATGTGACAAGCTTTCCATATCAATCAATGATTTGATTTAAAGATATATAATGAACGAGACATAACAATTTCAATACTTGATATACATCAGTAAAGCTTCAGCCCAAATGGCATAGAAGACATACACTTTCTGATAAAAAAATTTGGTAGATTTTAGGCTTTTAGCCCTATCTAACATTCTGCCAATGCCATAGGGGTAGATGTCATTCTCTTACAAGGCATGTACTACACGGCCAGAGACTACATACCAATACCATCCTGAATCTAAGTCCTTTCACTAATCACTTGGATAAAGGTACAACTTTTGCTACCATAGTAGCATGGAATAATACACGAAATAACAACATGGAAAAGCACATAGCGCATATAACACATAACATACAACTGTTCCTATTTATTGAACTCACCGTGAATTAACTAGATGTTAAAATAGTAATTTGGGCAGCACTTCATTACTATAATTGGCTTTCTTTGATGAAAACCGGGAGCTTTCTTGAAAACCATATCATGCGAGGTTTTAGCTTTAAACCGAAAAGATAAATTTCTCGGGCTCTTCGGGCACTTCTGAATGTGTTTCGGGTGTTGGGTATGATCTCGGGGCTTCGTGTGATGCTAAGTAACTTAAAAGAGAGTTTAGGAGTGAAAATGTGAGAAGTCCTAACCAAAACCAGGAGATCTCACACCCTCCTATTTATAGGGGCGAGGCTCGGATCTTCGGCCGAAGGGGGGAGGTGCACGTGGTAGTAGCGAAGGCAGGTGGTGGGTGCGAGGAAGGGACAAGCGGCGAGACCGAGCCCGAGAGAGGTGGAAGGCACGTGTCCGATTCTTATTGGACCGAGCCTTTGGTGCGAGGGGGTGTGACACAGGTCGACACACATTGGCAGCTTCTCCGGATGACTTATCGGCATCGGACACGTGCTAGGCTCACGTGAGAGGGTGACGTGGCCAAGCCCTGTCCATGCGAAATTTCTTGGTTCGTGTAATTGTCGGATATTGTGTCCCGAACTTCAAAAATCCATAACTTTCGCATACGAGCTCCATTTTTACGTTCTTTATATGCATGCATAGGTGAAATTTTGCTCTACAACTTTCGTTTATACTACGTTGGCTAATTTTGATTTATTTTTATTATTATTTTTTTTAACAGACTGGGACAGGAAAATCCGTTAAAAATTCATAACATCTTCATCCGACGTCCGTTTTCATCTATCTTTTTACTGTTATACTAGTATTTATGAGACCTTCGATTTTCGATTAGGTTGTGTCGGCTAAAACCACTCGATCTTTATTTCGAGTTTTTAGTTGTCTACTAATATACCGAAACTTAGAAAAATCATAACTTCCTCATACGAAGTCAGATTTGAACGTTGTTTTTATGAAAATCCCCGATTTAACGAGTACTACAACTTTCATTTAGATAACTAAGGCTAAAAAGTAGTTTATCAAAAACTCACGTTTTATGCTAAATAGTGTTTGCCAGTTTTGTCACGGATCTTCGTTTGGTCATAAATTTTTCGTTATCACTCGGATTTCAATGACGTTTTCACCTAAATGTTTCTAACGAGATTCTTTACAACTTCCAATAATAAAATTATACTTATTTCAAATTTTTATATTTTCGTTAAATTTCAATATTTGATATTTGATTGAAATCTCATAAGACTTATAATATTTTTCGAGTGATTCTAAACATAGTTTTACTTCATTTCTAGTAAAAACTCTCTATTAGAACTCAATATTCAAATTTCAAATAATATTTCATAATATTATTCATTACAACGCACGGTAACTAAATGTGTATGTTACAAATACCGCCTCCTTTTGAGGATTTCAACCTCGAAATTACAACGATTCAAAAAAAATGGGGATATTTCGTTCTTATCTCGTTCTTATTTTGCCAAGTATAATTTGGGCCTCGATGATGTTTCCACTTGACAAGCACCAAATCCACATATTTATTATGTAGATTAGCCGTTCTTTTATTTAAGATCTCTTCAGGATCTTCTGCATATGTTAACTTATTATCTATTTTCACCTCGGATAATGGAACTGCTTCATCATATATGCTTAAACATTTACACAGATAACTCATATGAAACACATCATGAATACCTGCCAAGTCTTCCGTCAAATCCAAGCAGTATACTTGTTTACCAATTCTCTGGATGATTTTAAAAGGACCAACAAATCTAGGACTTAGTTTCCCTTTCTTCCCAAATCGTATAATGCCTTTCCATGGGGATACCTTGAGAATTACAAAATCACCCACCTAGAATTCTATGGGTCGTGTCCTCTTTTCTGCATAGGACTTCTGTCGATCCTGGGCCGCTTTCATTCTTTCTCGTACGATTTGAATCTTTACGATGGTGTCTTGAGTCATTTCAGGGCCTCCAAGGTTTTTCTGGCTTATATCACGCCGACATAATGGAGTACGGCATCTACGAACATATAGTGCTTCATATGATGGCATTTTGATGGAAGAGTGGTAACTGTTATTTGCTTCAAATAATGCTGAAAAACTGAAAACTGGAACTGATGCTTCTGAATTTGCCGCACTACTAGAAAAACAGCCTTTTACGACGCTCATTGCGCGTCGTAAAAGGCTCAGACGACGCGCAAATGCGTGTCAAGGAAGGCCCTGTCATAAAGAGAGACGACGCACATTTACGACGCGCAATTACGACGCGTGTTTACGACACGCAATGCGTATCAAGGAAGGCCCTATCATAAAGGAAGACGACACGCATTCGCGTGTCGTAACCTTACGACGCGCGTGTTAATGACACGCAATGCGTATCAAGAAAGCCCCTGTCAAGAAAGGCCATGTCATAAATGAATATGACACACATTTTTGCGTATCATAAATTTAAATGTTTAAAAAAATATATTTACAGATTTACTAATTTTCAAATTAATTTTGTATTTAATTTCTCATAATAGAAAATAAATATCATATACAAAAAATACAGTCCATTGCATAAAACTTAATGTCATACAAATAAAATACCATAAATAACTAAGATAATTCATTTCACTAATATGTCAAATACCGATAATTATTCCACTAGTGAGTAAATGTTATAAAAAAAATGAACTCAAGAGAAGCAGAATATACAATTGCATTATCTAGCTTACTATCTACCAACAACTCTCCGTGTGTTTGCTTTTTGCTTGAGTCTCATTTCCTCCAAAACTTCTAGATACATTGGCCTGCTTCTTCCTCGTTACTGTAAGTAGAACCGAATTACATTAGATGCTAATGTAATTAATTATGTTGCTAAGGATAAGGGTGGGGCTACTAGAAAGACTTATTTATATTCAGCTAGAACATAAGTATCTTTACGAATCTTAACTAACATGAGAACAAAAGGCTTATGGATGTTAATACAGAATAGTTCAGGGGCACAACCGTAAATAAACAATTAAATACTACATGTGGGTTTGATGTTAGAACAAGGTTGCAAATGCAGTTGTAAACATGCATGAATTATAAACATCATGTAATAAAACTAATTGTATTTTACTCTAAATTCAATAAAACATTACAAGTATTCATTTTTTAAAGTCTCAAATCTTTAATCTTGTAATTCATTCCACTTCCATTTGTAGTATGACGAATCTTAACACAGAAGTGAAATGGCAAAGAATTCTTTAGAGAGATATACTCACTATTATGAACGTTGGGCTACTAACCAATAAGTATACAAGGGTATAATTGTAATTTTCTATATATTTGTAAATTTATGTTTCTAATACATAATACTTTGATTCTTTTTTTCACATTAACAGTCGAGGAAAAAAGCACTTGCGGATTTACTACATATGTAAACAGTTCATGTAAGTTAGAATTCCAATATTTTTTTGGTAATATTATATTAAAAATAAAAAGTCTTTTTTTAGTATTTTATTAGGTTTATTAACATCTGGTAAAATTTCAGCTTGCAAAACTTAGTGAGAGGCAATGCCAACCCAAGACACAGTTGAAATTTATTCTAGAAGTTAGGTTGCAGGTATATGCTTACTTATATTTAAATTTTAATATATATTTTTTATTCTAAATGATGGTTTTCTATTGCAGATAGTTGAATGTAGGCGTGTGTTAAAATGGACATATGCGTATGGGTATTAGGTTGGGATAAATTCGTAAAATTTAACTGTGTGTATATGATAGGGATGTAGCTTTAGAACAAGTAGAACAATTACAATATTATCCTCCATGGAACAAATAGACATACCACTTCAGATGCATCAGGAGTGAGTTCAACAAAAGATCCAACAACCTTGTAACCCTTCTTTCTTCCCAACCCAAGGACTTTTTCTATTCTTCAGCAACCAAGCATCAGTCATAGGATTTTCGACCAATTCCTTATCCTCGATCAATAACACCAAGAAATCCTACACAGATAAAACCATGATTCTGTTAACAATTACTGGTTTATAGTTGTATAAATATACTCTTACTCACCATAGAGGAAATATCATATTTAAACATGTTGACTCTTTTTTCTGTTAACTAGTAATCAAGAAATGGGCCCACAAGTAGAAGGGATCCAGCCTGGATAGGTGTTGTATGTCCCAACAGATTGAAAGAGCTTAACAAGTATTTCCTTTTGAGATAATGATGGAAGACAAGTCATCATCTTGTATTCCTATAAGAAATCAGTTGATCACAAACTACATGTGCAACTGCAGGTATACACACACACACATAGAGAGAGAGAGAGAGAGCGAGAAAGCGAGAGAGAGAGAGAGAGAGAGAGAGAGAGAGATAACCTTGGCATGTGTCATTATCTCTTTAGCCCAAGAGAAGAAATTATTGTTGTTGATGTTGCACACCAGAAACAAGAGATTGTGAAGAAACCTCTCAGAGGAGCAAGTCCAAGAAACCTGCATAAACTTCAAAGTAAACATACATGTTATATTTTATATTGTGCTTCAACATCTACCAAAGGGTATTGTTGTCTTTTAACAACAATATAGCGGAGAGATTCCATGGTTCCACGTTTGAATCTTTAATAACATAGGCTTTGTTGAGAGACCTAAATAATATAAGTCAGGCTATGCTATATTTCTATTCATTTTAGTTACCAACATGGAAAACTAATGTATTTTTGTAGTAATTGTCTAGCCTTCTGTTCTCTATTATCTCACCTTGATCCATTTCATCACTCTGCTTATAGCAGTCATCATGACAAAGACTGACTTTCTGTTTCTTAAAAGCAACAACTAGAACTTGAATGGACCCTAAAAATAGGCTCTTACCAACTTCATCTTTCAAAAAAAGAGGCGATCCAGTAACCATCCTCTGTTGTCAATATCTTTAAACAAACAAAACAAAAAAAATCAAAGATTATTCTTAATAGATATTGTTAAGAAAAATATTAACAAAAAAAACTCACCTAGAAAAAAACATTAAATCTTCAGCAAACCTTTCTAATATTAGTAAGCAGCCTCATATGTTCTTCAGGCATAACTTCCTTAACAGCATCAATACCACATTTCCTCACAAGCATTTCAAGCAGTAGCTTCACCTGTAACAACATATCATCATCCATTCCATTTATTATATTTCAATAACAATTTATCACAAGATATAAATCTAGATCTTTCACTAACCTTTGCCTAAAAATGACTCTTGTTCGTACTCTGCCAGCTCAGTAGAGCCTCCACCATGCCCTTCATATGCAATTGCAACCCTTCAACTTGTAATTTGCAACTAATACCTTTATCAGACCTAAATTTTCCTGCACTAATAACAACCATATTATTAGACAATTAATATAAAAAAATAATAACAAAGAATACTTACTTTAATTATCTCTTTGTTTTTTCCTCGAAGAAGAAGAAAAGAGGATGGAAAAACAGTAAAAGCAGCGGATACAAGATAAGTAAACTCATAACTCAATGGAGTTATGCCTTTAACAGCTGCACTTATCATGTGAGGTGTCTCGGAAGCTAAACCACCAGCCACCTGTACCAAAATTAAAGGAGAAAACTTATGGGGACAGAATTGCAACAATCATCTATACTTAGGGCACATGTAATTTGGTGTCCATTGAGGTCAGGGCACATGTAATTTGGTGTCCCCACCACCTGGATTAAAGAAATTAAATCTAGATTAGCCATGGCTGTTGACATTTCCTGTGCTGGCACTAGTCTGAGTGAGGCCATATCTCTGTTAGAACCTCTTACATCAGATGTAGTTGAACCAGTGTTTCAGGGGCTCGTGATGATATAGGGCTAAAAGCGGGAAATAAGTCAAAAACAACATACTTTCATTTAATTTTTGTACTATAGCATCCTGCTTTCATTTGTTTCTAAAATTGCATTATAGTATTTTAAATAATTTAAAAAACTTAACTAACCTTTTGGAAAGGTACATCGCCTCCTAATATCATCTCAAGCATCACCATAGCAGCAACCCAAAAGAACAAAATGTCATGCCCAGTTTCAAGAACAGTAGTTGGATAAAAAGTCTTCAAATCTTGAGTATCATCAGGCCACCCCAATACAGATAAAGGAAAAGCCCTGAAGAAAACAAGGTGTCTAAAACATCAGGATCTTGAACCAATTCAAACTTTTTCCCGGAAAAGACCTTTCTAGCCTCAGCTTCAGCCTCTTTCTCATCCCTAGCAACCACCCAATGATCCATGTATGCTCCAAGCTCTTTCAGTTTATCATCCTCCAATGTCACATACCGTGCAGGAACTCAGTGGCCCCAGCAAAGTTGCCTTAATACACACCAATCACAAATGTTCTCAAGCCATCTGTAAAAATCAAAAAAATTTAAAATTAATTAATAAAGTTTAAATGTTGCATATCAATTTTAAAGGTAGAATGAAAGACTAGAGAAGGTGACCTTTTCCATTCAGCAGCATACTGTTTTGGAAGTATATCAATTTTCTTGTTATTTTCATCCATTACAACATCAAGAGCTTCTTTAGCAATACCATTGCAGTTGGCATACCACTGAGGCTTAATCATAGGTTCAATCACATCATTGCTTCTAGAACAAACACTTAAACGCATCTCATTCTTTTCTTCCCCTTTATAAAGTCCCTGTATGCATATTTGATGAAGAATATAAGAAGGGTATTCGCGTCTTTTAGGGTTGGACAAAAAATTAAGAAAGGTATTAAAAACGTTAGACTTCAAAGCCTCAGTTATTGCAACACGAGCTTCAAAACATGGCATCCTTACAAACGCTAAACCTCCATTACTGTTTATCTTCCCATCATCAGTAAAAGTGTTAATAAACTCAAGTTTATGTCTCTTTCCAACTTCAAAATCATTAGGATCATGTGTTGGGTTTATGCTTTCTGTTAATGTTATGGGAGTTTTACAAGATAAACTTGGAAGTGTTGAAAAGTTTTTAAGGTCTAGAAGGAATCATAAGAGGGGGATTTATGGGAGTTTTAGAAAATAAGCAAACTAACTAACGGAAACAACATAGAATCGAAATTAAAGAGCGATTAAAAACCCTTACCAAAGAATTTATGCATGAGTACAGTTGAAGAAGGCCTAAAAGAAATCCGAGACCTGAAGCCAAAAAACCCTCGTTCGAGAGCAAAAAAGAGTAGATTCACCAACAGAAAGAGAATTGAGAGATGTGTAAGCCACGAATCTTGGAAGAAAATCAAACCGATTTACGATCGACTGTGAGAACGTGGGTGAAGGCGGGGGACCTAGGGCTTCTTGTTGGAGGCGCTGGAGGTGGGAGAAGGTGGAGGCCCTAGGGCTTCTTGTTGCTAATTCAAAGATCAACATCGATGGAAGAAGGTGGAAGAAATCTCAAACCCTTAACCTTAAACATGATGTGAAGCAATTGATCCATAATCTTCTTCGTCTCCGTTAATTCCTTGGGTTCACATAATCGGACGATGGTGGTAAATGAAGCATACTTCGGGAAGGAAGGTGCATCTTCGTAGTTTGAGGCTAGAAGAGGAAATGAGGATCGGAGGTAGTGGATGTGGATGGGGGTGGAGACAAGGGAGAAGAAGGTGGGGGTTTAAAAAATTTAGGGATTTCTTTTTGCCTCCGAGACGCGCGTTTCTTAAAAAAAATATATAAAACGACATTCACAGACGATGCACAAGTGCCTTCCGTGTTTTTAATATTTTTACATGAGACACTAATTTAAGGGCACTCAGTAATGCGCGACCTAAATCCTTAAAATTTTTTGAAGAGATGATACTTTTTTAATGTCGCTCTCTAATGCGTAACATAAATCAAAGAGCGTAGTGTTTTGCGCGTCGTAAAAGGGTCTTTTTCTTGTAGTGCCGAAAAATAAACTCAAGACCGCCGTCTTAAAAAAAATGTGGTGCAAAAGATCGCAAACAAATGCAATGTATAAAAAAAACCATGACGTGGAAAAGTGTCAACCACGTCGTCTCGTCAGGAATGACATCCGCTTCTCGCGATGAAAAATCCCCCACGACATAGGAAAGTGTCAACCATGTCGTGGCAGTCGGGATGATACTTCTTCCTCGCATCGAAATACAACTCTAATAAATATGTACCCCACACTTATGACAAATTGTGGGTCTTGACTATACTCTTCGAACTCTCACACGGCTCTCTCTAGCAACAGTCGGACCTAGCTGCTGAACTTACTGCCAGCTTTCTAAGGGCGAAAATTCTGCAGAGATCTAAACAACTAAAGAGCATCAACATGGAAAACAAAAGTAAAAACAAACTAAATTAAAGATCTATTACACACCAAATAAAAACACTTAACTAAACTAAAAATAACACAAAATAAAAATAAAAAGGATAACTAAATCACTCATTATCCCCATCATCCTGCTGCTGCATCCTAGAAGTACCAGCCCCATCATATCGCCACTGAAATGGTGGTGGGTAGGGAACCGAATACTGAAAACCTTGGTGGGCAAAGAATGCGTTCAACTCATTCCCTTGCCACCGCTGTTGCATGTCCACATGTGCAACATAGTCACTAAGGTTCTGGACCCTCATGTCAAGACGATCAATGCCCTGAGCTAGGTAGCACATATCGATCTCCGGCTCAGGTCCCTGCTGCGCTCCCTGAGGAGCAGGTCTATACCGCGGGACCCGTCTCGGCTGTGGCTAGGCGGAACCCTCCTCATCCGCCACATCATCTGCTCGTACTCTCAAGACACCATCTCCACCCCTCTCCAATACATGCATCGACTCTAACAGCTGAAGACTCATCGGCCTCATGTCGTGGAACACCATCGATCTCGTGATCTCACGCGTCAGCAACTGATATGACCGGGCTAAACGCGTGATAAAATGCCTCCCGGGAGTAACTAGCGCCCATAGGAAATAAAGGTCTGTCGAAGGCACTCTCTCACTGTTCTTGTGATGCGTGAGAGAAATAGAAATCAACCGGTGCAACATTCGGTAGGTAGTAGACCGAATCATCCCCCCTCGAGCGGTAGATGGTGTATAAACTGCCCCTGTAATTTCGGCCCAAAAAGTGTTCTCGTTATAGTCATCTGGCCGCTCCGTAAGAAAATCAGCAAGGAATGCCAGGAAATGGACACTCCTCGTCTCATCGGCTGTGTAAATACTGTGACAACCTGATATTTCGAGACAATGTAATGTAAAACCAATCAAATTTAGGTCAAAATATAACTTTCCTAAAATCTTATTCGGGTTAAATAAAGTAGTAGGAATCGTATCAAGGTTTTCGTACATATAAAGAACCCTAAAATCCGAGTTATAACGAAGAAGTTATGACCAACCGAAGATTCTCGGCAAAACCGGAAACACCGATTAAACGAAAAATGCGAAGTTTCAATACAATATTTTTTAGCCTTAAGTATCTAAATGAAAGTTATAGATAACCTCAAACCGTGAGCGTACATAAAAAGAACGTCCAAATCTGACTTCGTATGAGAAACTTATGATTTTTCCAAGATTCGGGTATAGCAGTAGACAGCTAAAAACTCGAAATAGAGCTCGAGATACTTTTGACCAAAACAACCTAAATGAGAATGTAAGGTCTCAACATTAGAAGCACAACGGCGAAAAGTCTGACGAAAACGGACACCGGATAAAGAAGTTATGGATTTTTAACGGACTTTTCGTGTCCTGTCCCGTTAAAAATAAATAATTAAAAATAAATCAAAATTTGCCAATGAATTCTAAACAAGAGTTGTAGATAACATTTTCAGCTACGCGTGCATATAAAGAACGTCGAAAACGGAGCTCGTGTGCGAAAGTTACGGATTTTACAAGTTCGGGGTCCAAAATCCGAGGCTGTGAGGCCCCCACGACGTGGCACAGCTTGGCCGCGACCCGGCAAGTGACTGAGGGCGTCCAATCAATGGAAGGGGATAAGGCTTGCTCCCCACGACGTGGACAACCTTAGCCACAACGTGGCACACCAGAAATGCCCCTATAAATAGAACTCTTGGGGTGCCGGGTTTAGGTGCTCCATTCTTCCATCTCTCGTGCTGAAACTCTGTAGTTAAGCTCCCGAAGCCCTCCCGAAGACCCGGTTTTCACCTTCAAGTCCCGAAGGAAGGTTTTGTGTTCCTGAGATTCCCGATATTTTCCCCCGCTTTCAACTCTTCCTGTCAAAGTTATGCTCGATTCTTCTCTAGACTATTTCAAATCAATCACTTCAATCTTGTGAGTTCATACCCCTTAACTAATGTTTTAAACTACTTTTAAATGTGTAATGCGGGGGGGGGGGGGGGGGGAATACAAGTAGAATCATGCTAGTAATATATCAATCACATGCGATTAATAGGTAGAATTACACTAGTTATTACATCAATCACATGTGATTAATATACAGCATTCAAAAGATTTGGCTACTCATTAGCTGTTTTACCAAACTGTTTCCTTCAAATGAATTTTTCTAAACATTTTATATGTTTTAAACTCCTTTTTACACTGTACAGCTTACTCCGTACATTACCTTTCAAACTTATTTACAACTGTGTTTCAATCAAATGTTTCCTTATACTCAAAACTGTTTTATCATACTTATGCCTTCAAATTGTTTTATAAATCGACATCAAGTCGATCTTTTCTTAAAATAATATTTACGTGTCAAATGTCTCACAAAATTTATTTATGCTTTTATATTATAAATTGCATGCCTCTATATGTATAGTTATATAAGAAATGTTTAAAAGACTTAGGAAGGCTATCCACCCTATTTCCTTTTCACGCCTTGAGATGTGGTCGGTGGGATATTGGGTATTCGTCCGAAAGTCGTTTAAATATTAGTTATATATCATGTGTACATATATAGTCATAAAAGGTCTTTCCAGTTCATCCCATGCCCTTAGTTAGTAAGGGTATACATCCATGACCATACGTACCAGTTAGACTACTAGTAAACTACCATATGGGTAGTTTAGGAAGATACTAGAACCGTTACTAGAACGCGATATCATACAATGAGTCAGTTCATTCATGAGTCAATACTTTCTAGAACATTACATATACAACTATACTAGGACGAGAACATGAACTATACTAGGACGAGAACATATACAACTATACTAGAACGAGAAACATTACCCTTACATTAATACGTTAACAACTGTGATCCACTGTATCGGAGCATGCCTTAAATGTCATGGCCCGAGTTATAGCCAGAATTCTCTTGGAGGGAGAGCGTTGAGTTTGCGTATAGATCTATACTGGATTGACAATCCTACACCTTGCTGCTAGCTACAGCCGGACCTGCAGGTCTGCGGGTGCCAAACGTCATTCCGTTATTACGACCGTTCTTTATGTCGTTGTTATCAGTTGATAGTATGGTGCAATTATCACATTATACCTTAATATAAATTTCGGTTTAAGGTAGTTAGTACAGTAGTAGTTCCTATAATACAAAACTACAGTACTACAATGATTTACCCATTACATTTTTAGCGCTAACTTTCACTTAAACTTTAATGTACAAACTATATTTTGTTAAAAGATAGTTACACTTGGGAAATTACACACTTTTACATCAAACAAGCATACAAAACAGTTAAGCCTTGGTAGAAGGCTACTTTAATAGAAAATATAGGTTTTTCTGAGAGATTCAAACTTTTTCAAATTCTTACAATACATAGACTTACAAATTCTTACATACAAATTAAGACACTAAATACTTATGATCTCACCAGCTTCAAAGCTGATACTCGCTTTCAAAATTACTTGTATCCTCAGGTCATCATAGACAGGTACCGATGCAAGGAGAAAGGAAGATGGAGCTTGTTCAAGACTTATCTTTCATTTTGATTTATGCTTTAGTGTTTATCAAAATTTGACAGAATACAATTGTATAATAATTATTTTATTAATTCAATGGATGATTTTGTTGCTTGTTTACTACTTTACATTGTTGTTGATATTATACATGACGTCCTCCGCCCTAGAACGTTTTCGCCGTTCTCGGTTTTGGGGTGTGACAAATACCCACCCGAGTCGCAAGCTCTATCACACTGCATTCTCGACTCACTCCACCCAGTCTGAAAGCAAAAGTTGTCCTGTCATCGAGTGCCTTCCTATGATCATAGGAAACTGTAGCGTAGAACTCCAGCAAAAACTCCCGATAAACCGGCTTTTGGATCCGGAACAAACGTGCCCATCCCTGGCACACAAACAAATCCACACCACTTGCGTCCGAGTGCGTGTATTGCAAAAATCCCTGGATCAATGAAGCTAGCCCAGTCCTTGTAGCCAATTCCTAGTCGAATGATGGTGCTATATCAATCTCTTTGGTAAGAAGCAAGCTCAAGTTGGTGACATAACGCGCCCGGGTAGCATCG